GATTCTGATTTCATTCTGATATTTAACACATTTCAGTCACTAAAAATGACCTTGCCATAAAACCACGCACCCTTCTCTGACCCGGCTCCGTTTTTCTCCCTTTTTGTGTCGTTTTTTTGCTATATATATATATATATATATATACTTTATATTTATATATATATATATATATAGGTGTATAGACATGTATATATGTATATGCTGTTGTTTTACTTATGGAGCTAGTAACAAAGATAATTTCCCTCTGGGATAATTCAAGTATTTCTGATTCTGATTCTGATTTAATTTTGAAATATAACACATTTCAGTCATTTTTGCTATATATATACACCGGTATGTATATATATATATATATATATATATATATAAATGTATATATGTATGCAGCTAGTAACAAAGATAATTTCCCTCTGGGATACTTAAAGTATTTCTGATGATTTTGCTTTAATAACTTCAGAAGAACAATGGCTAAAAATGATCCTGTTGTAAAACCACCTTCCTTTCTCTAACCCGGCTCCGTTTTTCTCCCTTTTCCTCCGTTTTCCTCCCTTTTCCTCCCTTCTCCTCCCGTTTTTGGTGCAGAAGGCAGACTGCGGAGGAGCGTGAGGCGGAGCGGCAGCAGGCGAACCGGCTGATGCTGCAGCTGCAGCAGGAGGCTTTCCAGAAAACGCTGAGTCAGCCGCTGCAGCCCGACCCGCTCTGCCTGCACAACTCCTCCCTCTACGCGCTGCAGAACCTGCAGCCCTGGGCCGAGGACAGCAAGGTGCCCGCCCTCACCCCCCCGGCCTCCCTGCTGTGAGCGAGAGAGAGTGCACGAGAGTGTGCACGAGAGTGTGCACGAGAGTGTGCACGAGAGTGAGAGGAAGAAAGATGAGAAAGATGGAAAGTAGAGGCTTTTCTCAGTGTGATTGGACTAAAAAGAGAGGAATATAAGACGTAAAAGAGCCTATTAAGGCTAATTTTCACGTATAAGCTAGATGAAACTAGATGCTTTTTACAATGTGATTGGACAAAAGAAAGATGGAAACTAGATGCTTTTCTCAGTGTGATTGGACAAAAGAAAGATGGAAAGTAGATGCTTTTCTCAGTGTGATTGGACAAAAAAGAGCCTATTAAGGCTATTTTTCACGTATAAAACGTCGAAAAACTGGGAAATCATACAGTAGATAATAAAGGGAGAGTGTGTGCACGAGAGTGAGAGAAGAGGGAGGAAGAAAGATGGAAACTAAATGCCTTTTACATTGTGATTGGACAGAAGAAAGATGGTTTTCTAGATTCTTTTCTCAGTGTGATTGGACAAAAAAGAGAGGAATTCTTCTTTCTTCTTAAGCCTATTTTTCTCGTATAAGACGTTGAAAACGTCGTGTGCACGAGAGTGTGCACGAGAGTGTGCACGAGAGTGAGAGGAAGAAAGATGAGAAAGATGGAAATTATAGGCTTTTCTCAGTGTGATTGGACAAAAGAGAGCCTATTAAGGCTATTTTTCTCGTATAAGATGTCGAAAAACTGGGAAATCATACAGTAGATAATAAAGTGAGTGTGTGCACGAGAGTGAGAGGAAGAAAGATGGAAAGTAGAGGCTTTTCTCAGTGTGATTGGACAAAAAAAAGAGGAATTCTTCTTTCTTCTTAAGCCTATTTTTCTCGTATAAGACGTCGAAAAACTAGGAAATCATAGATAATAAAGTGAGT